TGCCCGGCAGTGGTCTGGCAACGATCTCTGCCGGTGCTTCCGTCGTCGCCCTTGTTGAGGAGACTGGCATCCTCTCCGCCAGCGCCCAGGCTTCTCTCGCCGCATTCCTCGAAGCTGACATTTCCGTCGGTCTCGACGCCCACGTTCAGGCCGCCCTCGAGGCTTGCGCCAAGGGCGGTGCCGCCGTCTCCCTTGATGTTGAAGTTCGTACCGCTCTCGTCGCCTGGCTCACCAGCTCCAGCTGCTCGCTCGGCGCTGAGCTCAAGGCTGTTGTTCTGTTCTGGCTTTCGTTCGCTCTCGAGGCCGATGTCTCCGTCAGCGTGTCCACAGGTCTCCTTGGCGAGCTTACTTCCTTCATTACTGGCACTATCGAGGCTACTCTCGGCGCTGTCTTCCGCGGAGTTATTTCTATCCTGGTCTCCGGCGAGAGCATGGCCTCCCTGTCTCTTGACGCTCGTGCCCAGCTGGCTGCTATCCTTGGTGGTGCCGCCGGCATCGAAATCGACTCCAGCATTGAAATTATTCTCATCGGATGGCTTACCGGCTGTGGACACCTCCCCAGCGGCTCCAGCTTCACCAAGAATCGTGTCCCCACCCTTCCTTCGACTCCTGCCGGCTCTGTCACCGGTGTTCCTTCTGTCCCTGCTGTGCCCACTCCTTCCGGCATTCCCAGCGGCTCCGTCACCGGCATCCCCAGCGTCCCCAGCGGCTCTGTTCCCTCCGGCTCCGTCCCTAACGTCCCAGTCCCCGCTCCCAACGGTGCTTCCCCTTCTGATGCCGCCAGCGTTCCTGTCCCCAGCGTCCCCAGCGGCTCCGTCCCCTCTGGTGCCTCCCCTAGCGGAGCTTCCAACGGCAATGTTCCCACCGTTCCCGAGGCTGTCTCTGTTCCCTCCGGTGCTGCTCCCACTAGCCCTGCCGGTGGTTCCGTCTCCTCTGGTGGTTCTCCCGCTGCCCCTGCCGGTGATTCCTCTTCCTCCGGTGGTTCTCCCGCTGGCCCTGCCGGTGGTTCCGTCTCCTCCGGTGGTTCTCCCGCTGGCCCTGCCAATGGTTCTGCTTCCTCCGGTGGTTCTCCTGCTGGCCCTGAGGCCTCCGAGACCCCTTGCGAGACCTTTGTTTCTGAGACTGTTGTCCCCATTGCTACCAAGACCGGGGCTGTTTCTAGCGGTGCTGCGGTCATCACCGCTGCCCCTACCGCGGTGCCTTCTAAGGGTCCCAAGGTGGTCACCATCACCAAGACCGTCATCGTTTCCGCCTGCGACTACTAGATTTGATTGCTGGCTCGCCAAGCCCAGTTACAACTTATGAAACGATGGAATGGGAGAAATGGGTGCAATAGTCTTGTACATAACTAATTTTAATTATAATTCTGCTGTTCCATATCTTGGAGCTGTATTATCAGGATCGTGAAGTTGAGTTGGGCCGGACGTTGTGGCATTACCACCCTTATCCTTTTCATTCTCCTTGATTGCCAACCATGAGAAGTACATTTCTCACATGGATAGATCAGGTCTTTAAACTTATATCAAAGCTATTGTCAAGAGACAGTAAATATATACAGTGTAGCCTAAAGTGATATCTCAACATAACTTCTCTACTTTCGTCTGTTACTGTTACTCCATCACTTCATTGCTAAGCATCAATCCACACGGAGAACTTCTCCACTCGCTCATTCCTATCCCGATGACATGATGCTCTAGATACAGAGTAAACGACAGCCAGCTATGGATACAACGGACCTTTCCTTGCATATCCCTGACCGCCCGATTCAAAAGCCCTTGGCCAAGGAAAGGGAACCAAAAGGGAAGGCCAAGAGCGGGCCACTAGTGTAGAGGACATTTCGATCAGCACGGTCATGCTCATCACCGCTGATTGTAATTAGAGACGGAAGCAAACGGAGAAGAAGCACACCCGTACGCTGACTGAGCTGGCAAGCAGCAGTCTTGTTTGCATGGTGCGGCATGAGAGGCTGAGACGCATGCTTGCATGCAGCTGGGATTGCTGATTTGATTGTTGAGGGCAGTGCTGCCTGCCGTTGATCAATTGCAGAACGGGGTTGTACGTACGGAGTTACTACGTGTTTGATCGACGGGTTGACAGTCGGCATGCACGTTGATCATGATTCCGGATACTCCTTAGTCTACTCCGTACGCTCTACATACGCTGTACAGAGTTATTAGAAGCAGGAATATTGGGACTAGACTCGAGTATCTATCCAAAAGGGTAGCACGATTATATTAAAGGATGAACTGCTCCGTAGATACTCCGGATAATGCAACGGGGTTACGGGAGGCCCTGCAAGGCGATGATCGTTATTATTGACCCTTTTGGGCGGATGGTCCTCCTGACCGCTATAGATAGGGGTTGATGGAGTCTAAGTGTTTGAGTTTGACTTTATTTGACTTTGGCTACTATCACTCGGACTAATAAATAGTGCAGATCAAGGACCAATGTCTCCCAGACGCATGGTTGACACTATTGCTGATCAGCTTCCACGTGGTATCCATATCCACGTATTCAGAATTACGACCAGAAATGAGAAGGAAAGAGAAGATCTCCAAAATCAAGAATTCCCAAAGGCACATAGTTATCTTTCTCTAGATCACTAGTAAGCCGCATCCCACTTGTCAAGGCGTCTATTGATTACCAGCTTCATGTTCCAACCGTATGCTGCTTGGACGCTGTCGTACTGCCACCTACCTTATCATGAGAGGCAGTGCGGCGCATTGCAACTAGCCTTTCGCGGAGAAGCTTCTCGCGCAGCTCCGTGCTCGATATGCGCGGCCGATTCGGTTTTGAGTGGATAGTCTGTCAAGTTCGTCAGTCTGAATAGTTCTTTGAGCGCTGAATTTGGAATAAGAGGCAAAGGAACGAACATCAAGAATCCAGTTACTCATCGGGTATAATATCCATCTGAAATCAGTTACCCACCTCTTCAGTATCCTTCGTCTCGTGAGCTGTCGAGCTCGGCTGCTCAGGCGGTGGAGACGACCGCTTTGCGGATTCCTCGGCTGGATCAGCCATCCTCTGTCGTTTCTCAGTATGTGTAGATACAGAAGAGGTGTTGCGCCGTCTTCGGGCAGCAGGGGCATATCTCTCAATAGAGCGACGTCTCTTCCTTTCTCTCCCATAACTGCGGCTGCGGCTGCGAGAAGCACGCCTCGGACTGACGCTGCCAGTGCGAGAACGGCCTCGACTGCGGCTGCGGCTGACACTCCTGGTTGAGCGCCGACGTCTGCGCTCATCATCGCGATCTCTGCTGCGACTCAAACGGCGATCATCACGGGACTTGCGGGCCTTTGCAGAATCAGCGGCTGGTTCATTCTTGTCAGCTCTTGAGGTGTCAGGTGAGGATCCCCTCCGTCTGCTGCTCTTCTCATCCGGCCCTCGCGACCTAGACCTTGACCTGGAGCGGGAGCGGTCTTCCCCTCTGCGCCGGTCTCGGGGAGCAGGCGAATGGGATGAACTGCGGGAAGAGACAGATCTTCGTCTCCTTTGGTCTCTTCTGGGAGTACGTGAGCGCGATGAATCACTGCGGGAAATGGATCTAGCTCGATCACCGTAGTCTGGGCTGCGTCTTCTCGGTCTCCTGTGGTCTCCTCTTTCTGGAGAAACAGAGCCACTCGCGGAGCGGCGACGTTTATCCCGGTATCTGTCTCTGCTTGGTAGGCGTCGACGAGGTGGCGATCGAGATGAGGAAACGGAACGAGAGCGGGAGGGAGAGGCGCTGGGCGATCTCGAAGGCCGACGGCCCCGGCGCGAACCTGAGGGAACGTAAGAATCAAATTCTCGTCTTGAGGGCGGATCACGAAATCGCTCGCGGCTTCGTCGCCTGGGTGGCGATCGGTTGTCCCTGTACGGCCGTCTATCAAAGTCTCGGCCTCCACGACCGCCGCCTCGCCTGCCCCGATTGCGATCAAAGCGTTCTCTTCGCCGGATCTCTTCCAGCTCCCTTTCGCGTGCTAGCTCTTGCTCCTTCTTGCGGCGGGCTTCTTCCGCTGCTCTTTCGGCCTCGATCTAGCGGAAACAGTATCAGCATCAGGTGTAAAACCATTCAAACAATATAGCAGCTCTACCTTCTCTTGTATAAGCTCGAGCTTCTTAGCTTCCAGGAGCTCCTTCGGGACGCCTTGGGGGTTCTCTTGAGCGCTGAGACATAGTGACCAGAGATCTTTACAGAACTTGGCCGTATCCTTATCCAGAAAGCCAGTAAGCTGGATTTGTAGAGATTTGATATCCGGCTATAAGTGGTAAAGAAATCGGTCAGTGCACGTCTCCAGACCCAGGGAATGCGCCGAAAGGAAACGTACAAATCGCGAGCCTTCTAGTAAGTTGAAACAGAGCTCAATGACGACGTCATCTTCGTTTCCAAGTATCTCAGAGATCTTTCCGGCAATCCATCTACAATCAGGCGTCTTCGTTAGGAAAAGCTCCTCCCGGATAATTGCGTTCAAAGGTCGATTCTCACTTCTTCATAACCTCAATATTGACCTTCTTCATGTCCACCTTCCGATTGAACTCGGGAGGAAACTTGGTCTGTTTAAGTAATTTGGCATCTATGCTGGAAGCCATATTTGCTGGACGAGCTGTGACAACTCGCGGTACAGCCAAAATAGTGACCGAGCAAAAAGGAAGAACGCGTGCGATTGCGACGATGATGCTCCAAATTGCCTTTTGTGGCCGTAAAGGTGCCCGTACCTCGGAGGTCGTGTCGGGCCGACTACAGCAGTTTAGTGAATGACAAGCCTAGGCCCTGAAGAAGTACGGAGTAGAGAAGAATGCTTAACTCTATAGTGCTTGATTGCACTGGGTTGGTGTGTTTGAGTGAAATACAACAAAGCAGAGGACGCAATGACGCGAGCCCCAGACCCTGAAATACTGGAATCAAACTAGATATGTGACCGTGACCCGATCAACGGCAGCCATCTGTAACATCAAATCATGCTATCATAACGGTAGCAGTGTTAACATGTAGACTGAAATAAGTGACCATGAACACTGTCTCAAGCTTCTAGTTCCCTTAGGACCCGGTTCACCTCCTCCCGAGCACGAGTAAGCTCCTCATCAACCGTGCCGAGTGCATATTTCGTCTTCATCTCATAATGCAGATCAACAAGCTCCTTTGCCCGTCGGAGATCATCATGCTGCTGCTCCTGCTGTCGCTTGCTCACAGCGGCTTTGCTTCTGTCATCTGGTAATACTCTTGCCTCGTTGAGCCTTTCGTTGACGGTGACTAGAGCAAGGGCATCATTATAGTCCTGTCTCAGTTCAGAAGGTGTACCTATTAAGCTGTTATCTTTGAGAAGTCGAACGTACGCAGACTCGTAGTGAAGTCAGATCGGAGAGGATCTCTGCAACCTGCATGATGGATGAGTATGATAGGCTTAAGTTGGGGTTGAGAACGTTCTCTTCTGGATGTCTCCGTCAGGAAGATGATGATGTCTTGGCAGGATCATGCATGGTGATCAGGTATTTTCATTAGCTTCACACTTTAGAACTCAATTCGAGTTCATCTACTTCACTGTCATAACATGTTTCACCCTTCTATCAACCAGCATAACTATAAATGCCTGGACAGCATTGAGATGACTATTTCCGGACATGAAGTGCCGAGGTCGGAGATTCGGAGTGCTCTCCGCGGATTGCGGAGACGCACCGGCTGATATCAAGACGGGGATTGACTCTAATATTTATTGACACTTGACAGCGAATGCGCCTCTAAGCAAGACCATCTCCTTCCCACCAAATCTCCGTCGCAATGGCGGCCTCAATAAGAGCCAATTGCAGAAAGGTGATTTGCATCGGCCGGAACTATGCGTGAGTGCTCGGATGGCCCTGCACAGCATCATCACCACTGACGAATGCTTCCCCCGCAGCGACCACATTACAGAACTCAACAACACCAAGCCGAAGCAGCCTTTCTTCTTTCTGAAGCCCCCGTCTTCTATTCTTCTGCCACGCGAGGGTCCCGTTCTGCGCCCCAAGGGAGTCAGCCTGCACTATGAGGTGGAATTGGCACTGGTGATGGGCAAGACGGTTCGGGATCTGGACCCGAACGATGAGAAGGGTGCTCTGGATGCGATTCGCAGTCAGTGTCCTTAGATACTTCTCCTGTCTTCTCCGCTTCGAAAGACTGACATATAACCCTTGTATCAGGCTACCTCCTCGCCATTGACATGACCGGCCGGAATGTCCAAGACGAGGCAAAGAAGAAGGGCCTCCCCTGGTCCATCGCCAAGGGCTTTGACACTTTCCTGCCCATTTCCGAAGAAATCCCCAAGGCGCGCATTCCCGATCCCCACAATGCTTTCTTGCGCCTCAGCGTTGGGTCCCAGCTCCGTCAGGCAGATTCCACCGGCCTCATGCTCTACCGGATCCCCAGGCAACTGGCAGAGATCTCGCGCGTCATGACGCTGGAGAAGGGCGATCTTGTTCTTACTGGTACCCCCAAGGGAGTCGGAGAGGTCAAGGACGGTGACGTGATGAAGGCGTCCATCGAGGTGGACGGGAAGGAGATCGAGGAGGGTAGAATCGAGGTGGAGGTGAAGGATCGGGAGGGCAGATACGTGTACAGTGAGACGTGATATCGTGTATCAACGGGAAGCTGTACATTGGGCTAGCTGCTGTATATACACATGCCTTGCAACCACATTCCGCATTGCGGACCATCTCAAGTCCAAGTACATTTACACTATCAAATCATCTTCATCTGCTGGCACAATCGGTATGAACCTCCTTTGCTTCTTACGTGGTCTGGATATGTGGACTTCACCCGGTGCATGTACAGCTTCCACGCGCTCTTCGACATCCCCCTTGGCAGCTCGCTTCCGTTCCACGGCATGCCTATGCTGCTTTTCAATCTCGTTGCGCACTATCTTCGCCAGCGTATCCCACGACCACCCGGCTCTATCCATCTCGCCTTCCACTCGACCTCTCGTCCCGGCATCATAAAGCCCCCGCACAAAAGCCTCAACGATCTCGCCTTCTCTCTTCCGCGGAGACAACTGCGCGCGCATGTCCTCAACGGACGAGAGATAGTCCTCGAGATCTCGCCCGCCCTGTCTGATCTGCGGAAGCATAGCTGAATCGTGTTCGGCAACCCGTTCCTTCTCCAGTTGAAGATCAACCTGGTTTGGAGATTGTTGCGAATGGTTCGAGGAACCCCACGTAGTCTCGGTGAGACTTCGCAGGGAGTCCTTTCGAGCGAAAGGAGCGGACTCATCTAGGCGCATTGAATCGGGTACTACGTCTGGTTCTGGAGATGCCTGCTTGACTCCTGTAGGGTCTGTCCTTGATCAGCACGAATAAGAGAGTCACAAAACACAACCTCAATATAGATCAAACAAGACATACCACCACCCTCTGGACCTCCCACTCTACCTTGTAGAACCTCCTTCTCTCGCGTAAACCAAACCCGAACCTCATCCAGAACCTGCCTCTGTATCGACTTTCCCAATTCATCCAGCCCCGTCTGCTCCCTGCATTCCGGTTCGATACCATCGAGGCTCTCTCTCAAGCGGCCATTCTCACGCTCAATGGCATCAATCCGACTAGAGATCCCCTCTAACCTAGTCTCAATTCTGTCCGTGATGTCCTTCAGCCTCCGGTCGCATGCATCGTGGTTGGTGTTGGCTGTTTGTGCCTGTTCTCGTACTTCATTCAGTTGCTGCTTCAGTTCAGTGATCGCTAAGATGGCGCCGGCGAGATCGGCTCTTGTGCTGTCGAGCTGGTTGACCAGGTGGATGTTCTCGCGGCGGATCTGGTGAGCCCAGAGGAGGGAGGGGGCTGATGGGTCCCATGACCGTACTGTTGTTTTGTCCATGGGAAGTGGTTTTGATGGGAGATGTTCTAGGCAAGGATGGGATGCTGGGTGATTATCATGGAATTGTTTATGGTCGAATAGAGGTGGATGATGATTGTTTGATGGCAGTTGATGATCAAGTCTGGATAAGGTTAAGTTGAACGAGTGGTAACTGAAGAGCCTAGGGCGACCAAATACAAGCTCAGTTTAACAATTGGAATGGCATTTACCTCTATCTATGGTACTGCAGGTATGAAACCACCTCCATGTCATGATCATGTATTCATCCACCCAAAGTGCTTTGTCTGTTCATGAAGCAGAAAGAAAAAGCAACTGAATGAACAAATAGCATTTTCCACTCAACCGACTGGTCAAGCATGATAGCAGCATCCTTAACCAACCAAGGCCAGCCAAGCACAAAATGGTAAGGGAAAAAAGACGGCAAACTCGAAGTGATGCAGGAAAAGAGAAACCATGAATTACAGCGTTAGAAAGCACAGGAACATGTCGCATCTCCATTAGAAAACAAAAGGAAACCATGAACAGCAGCTTCCGAAGATGCGCAGTAGCTGCTTCTACTGCACCCTCCGCAATCCACTGCCAGCAGAAGAAGAGCTGGAGACACAGAAAGCCACTTTTAAAGGATTCTCCTTCGCCAAAAGACAAGCAACGATGTTAAAAAACGCCTTTTTCCACCGCAGCTTACCCTTGGCACGTTATTGGCATACTGCGATCGTGAGCCGCATCATAAAAGATGCGGGTGGTAACTCGAGGTTGGGGCGGTTAGATAAGGTCTGACAGCACGTTAGCATACATTCAATCAAGGCTGACCTCCACAAGTTGAACTTACCAGCAACGTTCATGGGCATCTCCTCGATCTGGGTGCTGTAGAACTGCTCGATCTCACGCATCATGCGGACATCGTCAGCGGTGACGAAGTTGATGGCAACACCCTTACGACCGAAACGACCACCACGACCGATACGGTGAATGTAGTTCTCACGGTTGGCGGGCAAGTCGTAGTTGATGACCAGGGAGACCTGCTGAACGTCGATACCACGAGCCAGAAGATCGGTGGCGATCAGGACACGGGAAGAACCAGAGCGGAACTCCTTCATGATAACATCACGCTGGGCCTGCTCCATATCACCGTGCATGGCGGAGACAGTGAAGTCACGGGCAGTCAGCTTATCAGTGAGCCAGTCGACCTTGCGGCGGGTGTTGCAGAAGATGACAGCCTGGGTGATGGTGACGGTCTCGTAGAGATCGGACAGGGTGTCGAGCTTCCACTCTTCCTTCTCGACGGCGATGTAGAACTGCTTGATACCTTCCAGGGTGAGTTCCTGCTTCTTCACCAGGATACGGACGGGGTCGCGCATGAACTTGGTGGTAACCTCAAGGACATCCTGGGGCATGGTAGCAGACAGCAGGACGACCTGGGTGGACTGAGGAAGGAGCTGGAAGATGTCGTAGATTTGCTCGGTGAAACCACGCTGTATACCACGTTAGAAAAGATGTCGGGCGAAACATGCGCAAAGAAGGCTAACTCACAGAAAGCATCTCATCGGCCTCGTCGAGGATGAACATCTTCAGGTTGTCGGTGCGAAGGACACGGCGCTGGATCATGTCCTGGACACGGCCGGGGGTACCGACAACGACCTGGGGACCCTCCTGAAGAGCCTTCATGTCCTCGCGAACGTTGGTACCACCAATGCAGGCGTGGCACTCAATGTTCATGAAGTCACCGATGGCGACAACGACCTTCTGAATCTGCTGAGCCAACTCACGAGTGGGAGCAAGGATGAGGGCCTGGCATCCCTTGACGTTGGGGTCGAGCTTCTGCAGAGCGGAGATGGAGAAAGTGGCAGTCTTTCCAGTACCGGACTGGGCCTGGGCGATGACATCGTTACCTGTGATTCCCAGATTAATGACGGTACTTTCAGAGGCCGTAACAGGAAAAACCTACCCTTGATGATGGGAAGGATAGCACGCTGCTGGATAGCAGAGGGACGCTCGAAACCATAGGCGTAGATACCTGGGAAGATGTTGTCAATACTTGCTACACACATACCCCGCCATATCGTTGGGTTGAGACGAGTCAAACATACCGCGAAGAAGCTCGGGCTTCAGTTCCATAGAGTCGAAGGAGTCGGTGATCTCATCGTAGTTGGACTCGATCTGTCCTAAAATAGGCGAGTATTGTCAGTCTTGAATCTTTTGCTGAATTTTTTTCGGTTGCAAGCGACGCCACAAAATGTTTGCAGTTGACACTGTAACACCATAGCCGACAAGAACACAAGGAAAACGACATTTAAACATACCCTCGGGGATCTCCTCCAAACCCTTGTCGTTAGAAGCCATGATTGCGACTGTAGTAGGTGGTGATCACAGGCGAAAAGCTGCGATCGATGAAACAGTGGGGTGTTGGTTGTGAACTTGGAAGTTTTCTTAGCGACGACAGGTCCCAGTGGGGGTTGTAGTCGCAGAGATCTGAGAGTAATGAAAGTCCCTGATAGATACTTTTAGAGACTAGAACCACGACTCTCACGAGAGAGATTTCTTAGGAACTAGTAAAGTAGTGATGGTAGTAGTTGAGATAGTAAGATATTGAAAATGGATTCACCGGGTAGTAGTGATGTGGGCTGGAAAAGAAGAGGGAGAAAAAGATTTTCCTTGCCTCTTTTTGGTGAAGCCGCGAAATTTTTGATTTTTTTCTGTTTAGCGCCAATTCTGCCCAACCCACATCCACCGCCTGCTGTTTCAGGCCTCATGGTTTGCCTCATGGGATTTTTTTGCCGTTGGTGATTTGTGAGTGGTGGTGATGCTAATACTTGATAGAGGCACAGAAGGTTCTCGTGCAGGATGCAAATAATTGTTCTTCTTATCATGACTTTTGTTCTGTTTGTTCTCTGATATAGAGCTTCCGGAATCTCTCAGAATCAGGTACCCCGTATATTCGGAGTACCCCCGTACTTTGACCTCACCATACAATTTCTCCCATTCTTAGTGCCGGATCCGATTACTGAGTCTCTGGCTAAATGCCTGATATTACATCTTTGCAGAGTCACCCACTGGGGGAGACTGATTCTCGCTCTTTCTCACCGGATGACAGCCTTCAGGATCTAACTGGTCATGATGCAATCCCCTGTCATCCGCTAGGTGTAAAGCCGAGTGGCAACGCTCTACTTGCCAATGAAAATCTCCGTCATGCGACTGGGACGTTCAATCTTCTGCCGGATGAGTTGATTTTGATGCTGCTAGAGTCTCTGGATGGTCAAAGTCTATTGCGGTTCGGGAGGACCTGTAAAGCCTTCTATGCATTTACAAGAGCGGAGGAATTGTGGAAGGCTCTTTTCGTTTGGTAAGGATACATAGATCTTCGTATAATTAGACACGACCACTAGACCTTAGAATCTAGTAGTCTTGAGACATTTCACTAAGAGGCAATCTTCAGGTCGCCCCCTTCGTCGTTCACATGGAGAGGAACATGGCGCTCGACATACCTCAACCTCCCTCCTTCCAAAGTTGCCATATTGGACTGCTCAAGTCTGTTTTCTGATGCTCTTCATCGTCCATTCTATTGCGCACACATCTCATTGGACGCTTATGTGAACAATATTCCCTCGAGAAATCAGATCACCCGTCTTCCGGACCTTTCACCAGAGGATTTCCAAGCAGAATGGTCCGACAAGCCTTTCATTTTGACACAGCCGGTGAAGCAGTGGCCGGCTTACAAGCACTGGTCCGTAGACTCACTGCTTGCTAAATACGGAGACATGGTCTTTCGTGCCGAGGCTGTGGATTGGAAATTGAGCACCTACGTGGATTACATGAGGAACAACGCAGACGAGAGTCCTTTGTATCTATTTGACCGGGCCTTTGTGTCGAAAATGGGGCTCAAGGTTGGCCCGCCAGAGGAGGAACCTGAGGCGACGTACTGGCCTCCTCCGTGCTTTGGGGAAGACTTCTTCTCCGTGCTGGGGAATGACCGCCCGGACAGGCAATGGCTCATCATTGGCCCTGAGAGATCTGGTAGTACGTTCCACAAGGACCCCAATGCGACCAGTGCCTGGAACGCGGTCGTTCGCGGCTCTAAGTACTGGATCATGTTTCCCTCGTCGTCCAAACTGCCACCCCCGCCTGGTGTCTTTGTTTCGGACGATCAGAGCGAAGTCACATCGCCTCTGAGCATTGCAGAATGGCTGCTTTGCTTCCATGCCGAGGCGCGGCGCACACCTGGCTGCATTGAAGGTATCTGTGGCGAAGGGGAAATTCTTCATGTGCCTTCAGGATGGTGGCATTTGGTCGTGAATCTCGAACCTTCCATTGCTATTACGCAGAATTTCACCCCGCGTGCGCATTTGACTGCTACCCTTGACTTCTTGTCTAACAAGGCCGATCAGGTTTCTGGTTTCAGGAAAGATGTGCATAACCCCTACGAGCGGTTTGTGGAAAACATGCGCAAGACTCATCCGGATTTACTCCAGCAGGCGCTGGACGAGTTGCAGAAAAAGTCAGATGGCAGGAAACGCAAGTGGGATGAGCTGGTTCACGGAAAGGTGGTCCAGGAGGGCGCTGGAGACGCCTCTGAAGCAGGCGGATTTAGTTTCGGCTTTGGAGATGATGGAAGCGACATGGAAGTCCCTTGAGTCACTCCCACAGCTTGGAGTTGTCACAATACGATTTAAGCATATATATTCCTCCTAAACAAATTGTTGATGGGCAACCTGGCGCCTACACCCTCCAGGAGGACAACCATCATCCGGAATCAATGACAAGCAACCGTCTTAGCGGCTGACTGGTTATCTCCAAACACCAGATATCCGGCGAAAGCACCAACGGCAACTGCAAGCATGACGAACCCATTATACGTCATGAACAGCAGCCTATGCCCATTTAAGCATCTAAACTGATGGAACAAACAGGCAGAAGAGAAAACTTACATGATGAAGAAGCTATAAAACACTTGCACGGCATACAAGGCTGCAAGGGTGATCTTGCCTCTTTGCTCCACGGCCCGTCTGTTGTCCCTACCTGCAACTAGCGGTGAGCTCTCGTTGGGGGTTTGATTAGAGGGAACGTTGGCGGTGGCGGACTCGTCGGCGAACTCATTGCCTTGCACACCGTTCGTCAATGAGGGCTTCAGTCCAGCTATGACCAAAGCAGACATAGAAAGCGGGAGTACATTTCAATGGAACAAATGCTTGCTCGGCAGAGTCCACCAACGCAGCATGCCACCGTAGATACACGTCCAGTAGCTCAGAAAAGACCGAAGTACTTACCGATCGTAGCTGTTGTTGTCGAGAAAGAGTTCAGACGCTGCGCATGGGCAGCTTCATATTTCCGGGTGGCTTGCCGGACGCCCTCGTAGCCTGCTGTCAAAAGCACTATGAAAATCAGGGACATGAGGAGGGAGAAGGGGCCAGTGATATGCCACTGGCTGAAGACGATGCAGAGGTCCTTGGTAGACCAGGTGAATAGCATCTGATTGTGTCAGTGTACAAGATTGTAACTATAGATGGAACTATGAGATCTCACATTCATATTGCACTGCCCGCCCATATCCATGTCGCCGTGTCCATGGTCCATATCCATGCCGGAATGGTGCATGGCGCTGTGATCCATCGTTCCAGATGTAAATGGTATATTTGTCCAAAAGGACACGCGCTATATATATAAGGCAAATGCAAGGACTGAAAATGACAAAAGAGAGACAGATCGATGCTGACAGTTGATGCATTCGTCAGGGACGAAACGCATGCTAATGCAAACAAGACAAACAGAGTCGATAAGGTCCTCCCTTCGGCTTCACACTTACTAAATACGGGAGTCCAGTCCTCCAACCGGTTTCAAACCTACCGCCCTGCCTCAGACGATAGCCCAAGCATCACGAACAACGCGCACCCTCTCAACCTGTTATCAAAGAATAGTCAGCATATTAATTGAGCAATACAACCTCTGTCAGCCGTTGCTGCGCGACACAAAATGGCAGACGCTGTCCCAGCACAAGCTCCAGCCGCAACAGGCAGATCAACAGGTGCAGCAACCGCCACAGCACCAGCAACAGCAGGCGCATCAGGCACAACAACAAGCACACAAGCCTCCGGCACCAACAACCCAGCCACCGGCAACGCCAACACCAACTCATCCACAACCACAACAGACCCAGACAGCAACCGAGGCCTCCCCTACTACGAAAAACTGCGCCGCGACCTCCGCGACGCCCTGCAAAAGAAACGCCTCATGGACAAAAGCATGGTATGCCTTCGCCTCTCCCCTATATCCCTTCCCAGTCCGCCATAACCCGGCAAACTAACCACAGCGGACAGGCCCAACTCGAAGACCAAATCTTCCGTTTCGAGCAATCCTACCTCGAAGAAACCACCGCCGGAAACATCATCAAGGGTTTCGACAACTATATCAAGGGGTCCGGGTCAAGCACGGGGCTCGGCGCAAGCGGGATCGCGCTGGCGGGGGGCATGGGCGGCGCGGCGCGTCGCAAGGCGCAGGTGACAGATGCAGATAGGGTGTTTTCGAGGAGTTCGGCGAGTTTCATGCGGGTGCGTTAGCGTCTGCGTTTACTTTCTAACATCCCGAGATAAAAAGCGATGGTCTAACAAGTCATAGGATTCTCCCGCGCCATCATCCGTGCAGACTACGCCTTCGCATGCGCCGACGCCGACGTCGACGTATAACGGGTCGAATGGGAAGCCGAATGGCGAGGGGACGTCGTCTGCTGCGGCGAGTGTGAAGGGGTCTTCGTCTTCATCGTCGTCGTCGAAGAATAAGAAGAAGGCGAACGGGGCCGGTAACAAGGACAAGGATAAGGATGATGAGGGCGACGAGGGAGGGGATAAGCCGCCTGCGAAGCGGTTGAAGATTACTTATGGGAGGGATTAGATCTGCTGGATTCGAGTCGACTCGAGGAGTTTGTTTTGTGGGCTTTCATTCTACGCATCAAGGCAGGGGTGGGAAACCGGAGCTTAGGCGCTGGGTGGTGTTCTTTGGGACTGGCATATGTGAGCATTTACGGTTGTCTTGCTCTTTCTGTTGATATCCACTTGTATGAAGGCTGCACTAGACTCAAGGCAAATAATGACATTGACTATGCTACTGTCCATCGTATAGACACATTCATCGCACTCAATATGGACATCATGAGCAATTACAGCTGCAAGCGGTAGGTGGCAACCTCAAAAGCCCGCAGCTCAATCTTGACTGCGACGCCGTCCTCGCCCTTGCAAACCTCCAACCGCTCCTCATTGTCCTCAAGCACATTGCACTTCCAAGCCTCCTTGACCGGGAACTTGGCGTGGATCGTACCCCTCGATCTACCGCCCAGCGACTCGTAGATACGAAGGATGATGCTCTTCCCGGATCGTTTGGGCAACTCGCCCCGAGAAACGTCTTCATCGTCCTCTCCGCGCTTAACCACGTCAAGGATGAGAGACTGTGAGCCCGTGACTGCGATGGATTTGAACACGTTAGCGGCTTGCATGCCAGGCGAACGGCGCAGGATAAGGGGACTGTTGAAATTGTATCCCGCGCGGACGGTGCGGGCATCCAGGGGACCAGCGTGCGGGAGAATGGCGTAGCGAATGTGATGGCGGCCCATATCGGCATGGGCGTCTGGGGCTTTGGGGGCACGCAGAAGCGAGAGACGCATCAGGTTACCGCAGGTTGCGAAGCCGTATTTGGAGTCGTTGAGGATCGAGACTCCGTAGCCGTACTCTGACAGGTCGGCCCATTTGTGGCAGCAGACCTCGAATTTGGCCATGTCCCAGCTGTTTTGGTTAGAAACTATCACTCATAAGAAAGGCTTGACATACCTTGTGTTGTAATGCGTCGGTCGTCTGGTGATCCCATATTGAGTCTCGTACGATGCCTCTGTGTTCGTAACGTCCACGGCGAATTCGACCTTGAGGAACTTCATGGTCTCCTGCCACTCGACTTCGCTCTCAAACTCGACGTACGAGGGCTGGTCATTCACCGCCGCAGCCAGGCTGATGGTCGTCTTGACCCAGCTCTGGTCGCTAATTTGGACTTTGGTGACCACGCTGACAAGGTGCGGGCTTTCCTCTGCAATCGAGGTCTTTCCCGCCTGCAGCTCTTTTCTCGATTCGAGGTGGTAGACTTCCACATCCCAGGCTTGCCAGTAAAGCGGCTTGTCGTCAAAGACGACGAGCTGGCCCGCCTTGCCTCCCTTGGCGATGACTTCTCGCTCGGCTTCGAGGTCATACAAAGAAGTAATGACGCCATCCTGAACATCGACCCTCAACTTGCCATTGTCAAGACGGAAAATGCCAGGTCGTATCTCTGCCACCGTCACGGTGGGCTTTTGTTTAGCATCTAGAATCTGGCATTGGATGAGGCCAGAATCTCCGCTTGCTAGAGCATACCGTGAGCCTGTCAACGCGACAAACTCATCCGGGATTTTGACAATCTCCGAGCGAGACCAAGGCAACGTGTTGATGGCAACAAGACTCTTGCCGGTACTCTTCTCGGAAAATCCAAGCGCTTCGAGAGCTTGTTGTCTGGCTCGCTCACCCGTCTCAAAAATCTGCGCATACAGCTTGTCCGAATCGTCGTAGCACATCTCGATGGAGCTTCCGGGTAGGCAATCGTGGAACTGGCATAGAAGCACACCTTCCCACATATCATCAATATCATTCTTTGGGTATTTGTACTCGCCGTTCGTCTTGGTAAGGGATGCGAGAGTCGACAGATATTCTAGATCGCGCAGTAGAAATTCAGACTTGCGGTTATTCCGCTTGTTGTTCGCCTGCGTAGTGTATGTGCCCCGGTGCAGTTCAAAGTAGAGCTCGCCATACCAGGTGACAAACTCTGTTCCATTCGCAACCTTTTGCTCAAGCCTCGCGAAGAAATCATCGACCGAGTCTCCCATCTTGACGCGCGGAAGCAAGCCAACCTTGTCACTTAGACCCCGGCAGCGGCGCAGCTTCTCAAGATGTTCAAAGGTAGGGCCACCGCCACCATCTCCTTTTCCGAATACCAGAAGCGAAGTGTTGTCATGGTCCATCGATTTGTGCTGGGTCACGCTGCGTTTAACGTCGCCAAAATGCGCTTCTGCGGTGTACGTCTCGGACGGAGCCATGTGGCACATTACCTGGCTGCCGTCAAGCGCAACCCACTTGAAGGTAGTGTGCGGGAAGTTGTTGATATTGTTCCAGCTGAGTTTCTGGGTAAAGAAGCGGCTCATGCCCGCCAGCCGGCAGATCTGAGGGATTTGACTGGAGTAGCCGAATGTATCCGGCAGCCAGAAGGTGCTGCAACGCTCGCCAAATCGGCTTTCAAAGAACCTTTGGCCGTAAATGAATTGTCGCACCAACGACTCACCGCTGGGCAAGTTGGTATCGTGTTCGACCCAGCTACCACCAATCGGCTGGAAATGGCCCTTCTTTACCCATCGTTTGACGCGGTCAAAGACTGAAGGGTAATACTGCTCGAGCCACTTAAACTGTTGCGCCTGAGAACAAGTGAATCGGTGCTCTGGATACCGGTCCATCAGGTCACACTGGTTAGACCATGAGCGAGCAACCTTGCGCTTTGTCTCCACCCAAGGCCAGAGCCAGCAGGTGTCGATATGGCAGTGCCCGATGGCGTAGACAATGGGCTGGGTATCCGTCTCATAAACGTCAGACGAGTCGACCTTATCCCCAAGATACTTCTGAGCGATTCTGCGCGCCGCCTTGATGGACTCCTGGCTTCCGTGGCCCGCTATGAAAGCGTCCATGATGGCATTGGCAACCATATTCGCTTCATGAGCCTCCCAAGAGTCACCGGGGAACTCTCTCGCCGCGTCTGTAAAAGTCAGCCACTAATACACACATTGCTTCACCAATAGCAGCCGTATACGCACCGCCAATGATCCAAAAATCATAAAACAGCGCCCGCGCCTCAACGTTGACGGCAGTAATCCGCGCCGTATGCAGCGTATAGTACTTATCCGGCGCAGGCGGCTGGATCGAGTCGCCGCCAGGCGCATTCCCAAACATGGCATTGCACGCCATCTCAATGTAAAACGTATGCTCCTTGCCGTCGCGCCACGCATCAGGAATAACCCACTCGATCCGCTCCCCGCCACCAGTCAACCCCTGCACCGGCCGACCATCGTCCGTCCACACCAAGCCCTCATTATTTGCATCCCAATGGAACTCTAATCGTTCTTTGTCGAGCATATCCCGCGGGACCGTCAGCCGAATCCGGAACCAGTGCGTCGACCAACTAGGGCCGAACGAGGCGCCGATATGCGTGGGCGTGAACTCGTGCGATGTCGCCTCCTCGAATGTAGGACGCTGCAGGTCCGGGGGCGAGTAGACGGACAGCTTGACATGGTCTTCGTCGGAGGTGGTAGCTTCGTAGAGCTTGCTGTGGGCGGGAGTTAGCGGGGATTTTTTCTGTTGATGGGATAAACGTACGAGATAAGGCTTTGCTCACGGTACTGGCCTGAGTCTGTGAACTGGCGCAGTCGATCCGTGTAGATACTCTTGATGCGTTGACCGACAGGATGGTCTGGGGCTCGAGGGAGTGAGCTTGGAGCTCGCAATGGGACGTCTCCACCCATTTCGGCAGGCCTAGACCGTTGAGGTAGATAGGTCGAGGGATACACCTTAACAGTTTGGTTAAGAAATATGTTATTTAAAACTCTAGGTTCAGGGTCTTCAGTCTCCTCGGAGATTAAGAAAGAAGGAAAGAGGAGAAGGGGAAGGTCAGGAAAAGAGGCCAGCCGGATATTCGCCAGGAACAGGGATGACGTTTAAGAGCGGAGAAGTCAACAGCGGGGGATGGCGGGGAAACGGGGCGGATGAGGTGGAATGTGAGACATCAACAAGGGTCATGAGATGTTGCATGATCCAGGAATTAGTCTATGTCTCCTCTTGGCTGTCTGAATTGATCTGAAGAAGCTGTATATCGACAGGGTTATTGATAAATATCCTTGTAGGACTTGTACCATGACAGCATCACCTGCATCGGAATACGTATACATAGATCACCGGGTTGTGTCCCCCCAGATCAATCACTACAGAGAACCGGGTTAATACCCTTGCATTGAGAACGAGCGTTCGACAAGTATGGTGGGATGGATAGGTGGAGATCTCATCTATTGCAAAAGATTCTCAATTACGAAGAGTGTATAACCCATATAGCTGGCATCAAAAAGTCGCTTCCATCAATCATCCAATCCAGTGCCGAGACGCCAAACATAAGCCTTAGGCCTTTCCAGAGGTATCAAAATAACAAGAAATGAAATCATCAAAGGTGTGAAAAATTTAACGGGAAAAGCCCACGAGCTTGCCGAGACAGAATGCAGAAACAGTAGAAGAGAAAAAGCAAAGATATAATCATATCCAAGAATCGACGCGTCCATAGGGAGTGTATGGGTTGACCGGTCCTATCAATTTAATCTGCGATTTGAGCTGCATTCGTCGACGGTCAACGCTCGACTTGATGACTTTCTTCTTCGCCTCATCAAGCACATCTAGCACTTGAGTGGTTCCATCCTGTAACACTCGAATGGCCTCTCGAGTGTTCTGTTGGATCACGGAGCGTACCGGGGGCGACAAGGGGGCAGTGGGATTGGCAGATGTGAAGTCCGTACTTGATTTCGACTTTTGCGCGGAAGACGGGTAAATGTTCCTTTGGTGCTTTGGAAATTTCACCTGCTGACTTCGATAGCTGACCCTCTTTGAGCCGCCGGATTTGTCCCAGATGGCTGCACCATACTTCTGGTAAGGAGTGATGGGGACAGCAAGCTGCTTTGTCCGGTGAACAGGAATTGGCTTGGGGCTTTCTACCCATCGTTCGCTCATAGTTGAATCAGTTGAAATCGATAGGGTTCTCATCCGGATATCTATATCCACCTCCACCGGGCTCGATTC